TTTTTTTTTTTTTCAGTTTCCTCTTCACTTTTTGGCCCCTCTCCGCATCATTTGTGCTTCGAATTCCCTCCTCATTCGCGCTCTACAGTAGGACTGCCTGCAGAAGTAAAACAGAGGACAAAAGAGGGTCAGTGAAAAAGAAAGAATGCGCCTTTTCTGCTGAATTCTACAGTGTGGTGACATGTATGTGTATGGGCATGTGGAGGGGGAGGGAGAGCGAGAGAGAGTTGCTGCAGAGAAAACGAGTTTGATAATCTCAGCCACTGCGAGCTACAACAACAGCAGCACTACCAGCAGCATCTACACATATATGAGACAGTGTGGAGCACGTGAAAACCCAGCGTGACTGACGCCTTATCACCCTGTTGTTGGTGTTATTAGTTTTCATTCTCGTTTTTACGTATCCTTCTTTGTCTGAGCATATTCCTTTCCCACCACTGCTTTGGCTGCCGCCGCCGCCGCCGCCCAGTGCCTCACTCAGCTCCGCCATCAGGCACATCGTTGCATACACGTATACGTTACACCCACACACACACACACACACACACAGAGAGAGAGAGGCAGCTGAAATGGACACAATACAACAGGGGAAAAAGCATCTAGCGCAAGAAAGATACATAAAAATCAACCAAAAACACGGAACACCAACGCGCGCACACACGAAAAAAAAACACATGAACATGGGGAAAAACAACAAGCAAAANTATATATATATATATATAGTGCACGACGCTTCTCCTCACGCTCTCCGCCTTTCCTCACTCATATGCACATGCACGGATTGAAGAGTGACGCAAGCAGGACAGCATGAAGGGAAGCGGCACGCCAAAAAAGCACCTCAACTAACGAAAACAGTAAAATTCTGTAGCGGCACGACGAATCCAAGCAAAGGGGCACAGAAGGTGAGATATAAACCAAGAAGAGAAAGACACAACATAACAAAAGAATGATGGATCATGGAAATACAAAACCACAAAGTACACCGGAAAAGAAATGACGTGTTTGGTCATTTTGTTCCTCCCTTTCTTGTATCTCTGTGTACGTCAGTGCCTATAAATAAATATGTATATATAAGTGCATATATATATATATATATACGAGTGGTGATGTATACCTGTGTGTGTGACGGCGTGCATGTGTCTCTCTGCGTGTGTGTGCGTATTGGAGAAAAGCAATGACAAGGCTGAGCCTGAGACGCAGCACACACACACACACACACACAGATGCACAGGCGCGCGGAAACACGCACCACCACGTACACAGAGACGGTGAAAAGAGGGGAAATGGAGAAAGCAGTCGTGCGTACCTATACAAAGGTGGGAAGTGGTGAGCAAATGGGCGGAAAAGTGAGGCGTGTTTTTGTATTGATAGCTAACATATATATATATATATATATGCGGGTGTGGGAATGAGAGGTCTACGATATACGTATGACGAGGTAGTGGAGTCTATCAGTTTGAGTAAGTAAGTAGACCTGGTGGGAGCAATCACAGGTACATAAACGCACAGACACAGAGCGAGATGAAAAAAAAACTGCAGGAAACAACAAGGCTGTGCCTCACCAAGGGAAACTAAAAAAAAAAAGCAAAGTTGCATATGGGGGAAATCAGAAACACGGGGGGAAGAAGGTACCGAAACAAAAAAGAAAAACACAACACACAGAAGGAAGAGATGTGTTACTGGTGAAATAAATAAAATAGCATCACCTGTACCTCATAAGAAAGGTCTGGCCTTGAATGCAGAAAATGCGAGAAAAAGCAGAGTAATGCACTTTCCTTTTTTTTTTTTTGGAGGGGGTGGAGGGGA